TTTTTTCTACTAAAAACTATAACAAGGCGTACTATACTAGGCAATCTTGGACTTCTACGAAAAAAGTACCCCCCCCCCCCCTCGATACTACGAAAGCACCTAAAATTAAATGGCATAAAAAATGAAGAATTTCCGAAAAGCTGATCCCGTCAGGAGATCGAACTAGGGCCTAAAGAGGCGCAAAATAGAGCTTACTGGCTTGCCCATTCTCAAAAAACAGCCAGCCGATTCAAAAAACTCAAAAAATCAAGAAAATCGTCCAATCACCCAACGATTACGAAATAATAATTTACTAACAATTACTATTATTAAACAACCAACCCGTTCAGCTCGACGACAATGCGAAGAAGGACAGCGTCGCCCTGATGGTGTGACTAGGCGGGGCGGCGCGACGGGTCCGTGCCTTCTTCAACCGGCACACCAAGCCGGCCACCACAGCCCGCAAGCAATAGCATTTCTCAGACCTCATCATCTCGTCCCCGTTGATAATCTCATACATGCCCCCTCTCAACAAAGGTCCAGCATTCAACCCGTCTTTCAACGTCCTCATTTTCAAATGTCATTAATTTCAATATTTCTATGCGCTATTCCGTTGTGGTTTGATATCTCGTGACCTGTTCGCTCATATGGGTATGCTGACAAATTGACTACGGCCACACAAGGTTTTGGTCGTATCCCCGGGGAAGGTCGGAAAAGTTTCGTCCGAATCGGGCTAAAAATTGGTACATATCTGGAGTTTATGATGCTGATTACCGACTCGTTCCAAAAAGTCGTGGATCACTTGTAAAACACGATAGAACAAACCCGAAAGATAGAAAAATACAAGATTTTGACTAGGATGATGATTGCCTAGTTTCTAGAAGTCGTTGCTAACCTCTAAAATCCGATATATTTAAGCCCAAAGGTAGAAAGAGTAAAATTTGATCTAAGCTGAGTATCGGATAAAAAAAAATACAAGATTTTAGCTAATCTGATCAACGTGAGGCTTTCTGAATTCACTGCCGGACCCTAGGCGCGTTGAAATTACGCCGAAAGGAAGAAAAATATAGTATTTCAAATCGGCTGTATCTGCCTGCAAGCCTAAATATATCGATTTAAAAAAGCCAATGGCAATTTCAAAAGTTTGGTGATGACCTTCTACCCTAAATTTGTGCCAACTCGACCCCAAATCTGATTACCGACTTTCTGGCCTTCCCCAACTAGGCTTTTGAGGGCCGAATGGTTCGGGCTGGCCTACCCGCAAAACAATGTCAGGGCATCGCTGACCCAGATCATCTCCCCCTCGCAATTCAAACTTGTTTGTTATTGGTTTCCTACATCTCTACTCCCTTCCCCCTCATTCCTCCTAATAACCAACCGGCGCCGCCAGCCGGATCCACTGCGATACCCTTCACTTTGACAATCGGTACTGGATTGTTAGCGGGGGGAGCTATCCGTCCGCTTCCGTTAGCGTTTTAGTCCTTTTAGTAGTGCTAAATTAGACAAAAAGTCCTAAAAATATTTAGAAAAGATAAATTTAAAATTTCGACTACAAATCAATTTTTTTCGAAAGATTCATAGTTTTTACACTTTATTAATCAAAAACAGTAAAAAGCAACGTGAAAAGAGTGCATGTCATCAACCGAGCCCTATGAGGCCATATGCCTAGGCAAAGATAGCCTCCCCGCTAACAGTCCAGTACCCGAGAATCCTCAACAAACCATGTCCCACCACCATCGCAACAACCCGTTAAATATTCCTCGCCCCTGCATTTCGCAATAGTTCCCTTGCACCCACTTCCCCGCCCGGTGAAACAATTCGCTAATCTAGTCGACCTCTCCTTCTTCCCCCTTTCCGGCATAGCCCTTCACAGCCCGCTGCCGTGCCAAACATAGGCCGATCGATTTGTCCGTTTCCGTGAATATATACTTATATCCGTTATCAAACGTCTGCCTTGAGTGCGAAGGAAGGATAAATTGTCGATGATTCTCGCATTTATACATCAGAAAAAACACAACATAAGAAGCGGCAACGTTTATCGGGTAAAACATAGCATTAAATTAAATGAATTCAATATTTTTATAAATCATTCATAATCTTGGGCGCCGGTGGTGTTGTCTCCCTCGAATTCGCCCTCGTCGTCGGCGGTGGCCTCCTGGTATTGCTGGTATTCGGAGACGAGGTCGTTCATGTTCGACTCGGCCTCGGTGAACTCCATCTCGTCCATGCCCTCGCCCGTGTACCAATGAAGGAAGGCCTTGCGACGGAACATGGCTGAAAGTAAAAATCAGTAAAAGCCAAAAGCAAGACGCTTACCGGTAAATTGTTCGCTGATGCGCTTGAACAGCTCTTGGATGGCGGTGGAGTTTCCGACGAAGGTGGCGGCCATCTTGAGCCCTCGGGGCGGGATGTCACACACCGCCGTCTTGACGTTGTTCGGGATCCATTCCACGAAGTATGACGAGTTCTTGTTTTGCACCGAGAGCATCTGGTCGTCAACCTCGCGCATGCTCATTTTTCCGCGGAACATGGCAGCGACGGTGAGGTAGCGCCCGTGACGAGGGTCGCAGGCAGCCATCATGTTCTTGGCGTCGAACATCTACAAACACATGTACAACGATATTGCGCCACAAAAAATTATACCTGCTGCGTCAGCTCGGCGACGGTGAGAGCCTTGTACTGGGCGGTGCCCTTGGCGGAGAGCGGGGCGAAGCCGGGCATGAAGAAATGGAGGCGAGGGAAAGGCACCATGTTGACGGCGAGTTTGCGGAGATCGGCGTTGAGTTGTCCAGGGAAGCGGAGGCAAGTAGTGACGCCGGACATCGTCATCGAGACTAAAAGCAAAGATAAAACTAAACCAATTATAGCCTTACCCAAATGGTTGAGATCGCCATAAGTGGGGTTGGTGAGCTTCAGGGTACGGAAGCAAATGTCGTATAGGGCCTCGTTGTCGATGCAGAACGTCTCGTCGGTGTTCTCGACGAGCTGGTGCACAGAGAGGGTGGCGTTGTATGGCTCGACGACAGTGTCAGAGACCTAAAACAAAAATATAATGCCGTCCAAACAAAAATTACCTTTGGTGAAGGCACAACCGAGAAGGAGGACATGATACGGTCGGGGTACTCCTCACGGATCTTGGAGATCAGGAGGGTTCCCATTCCGGATCCGGTTCCTCCTCCAAGGGAGTGGGTGAGCTGGAATCCTTGCAGGCAGTCACAGCCTTCAGCCTCCTTGCGCACGACGTCGAGGACGTTGTCGACGAGCTCGGCTCCCTCGGTGTAGTGTCCCTTGGCCCAGTTGTTGCCAGCGCCCGACTGCCCGAAGACGAAGTTGTCGGGGCGGAAGATTTGCCCGTATGGCCCGGAGCGCACAGAGTCCATGGTTCCCGGCTCGAGATCGACGAGGACGGCGCGGGGAACATACTTGCCACCTGAAAAAAATAAATTAGTCTACTCCGCCATTCCTTGTACAACAAACTGTCATTAAAATTTTAAAGGGCTGCGGACGGCATGTGTCGATCCCCCCCATCAACAAATTGGCAAGTAGCCAACAGGGCAGAGAGCGCGCCCTGGGGAGAGGCGCAGAGACATTTTCTTTCCAGCGCGTAACCGATTGACTATGCCGTCGGCATCCCTTTAAGGCCATATCGATCTGCCGGCGCTGCAGGTATGAGCGGATTACTCAGCATGACCGGCAAACTGATAAGCAAAGGTGTCACGAACGCGAAATAAAAACCCCGAAAAGTAACTGACCGCTGGCCTCATTGTAGTAGACGTTGATGCGCTCGAGCTGCAGATCCGACTCGCCCTTGTAGGAACCGTCGGGCTGGATGCCGTGCTCGTCGGAGATGACCTCCCAGAACTTGGCGCCGATCTGGTTTCCGCACTGGCCGGCCTGAACGTGGACGATCTCGCGCATGATGACGGTTGGCTGAAAAAGGGTAAAATTAAAAGCAAGAAAGTACACAACGTCCAAAAAAGAGGATAACCGCGAAAAGCCAAAAAATAAAAGACGGGCAATGGGAGTACTGTAAATCCAGGGAAAATGTTTTGGAAAAGAAAAGGTAAAGAGGTGGGGAAAGCCTGGGGCTGAGATAAATCCGGGCCAACAATTTGTGAAGCCCGGGGTGAGCCAACCCCACGACAGGCAGAAAGAGTTCAAGCGCCAAAAAATAAACGAAAGAGGAAGGAGGCAGAGAATTGTAAATTAAACTAAATTCTAAGTACTTTTGTAAAACAGCTGCAAAAAAGTGAAAATGGTGCGAAAAGCGCGGAATTGCGGCGGGTTTGGGCCAGAAAATTTGCGGGGTCGGGGGTCGGTGGGGCGAGGTCGCATTGCGAAACGCGCGGGCTGGTACGGGGCAAGGGCGGGAAAATCGAAGAGTGCCGCAAAAAGGGACGCGGCCCCGGGCGCCCGGCTCCGAAAAGGGTCCACGCTATAGCGAACTACGGTGGATTGTCCACTGGTTCTGAGGGTGGCGAGAGAGTGGGTGGGGGCTGGAGAGCACAGAGATCCCCGGCTTCCGGCCGATTCAAGGGGCGTGAAGCCGAAAAGCGATGGACAATAAATAGAAAATAAAATGTATTTTAATTTGCAAAAATATCAAAAAGAGGTGTCGGTTCTTTAGCTTTATCGGGGGGGGGGGGGGGGGGGAGGGGGCAAAAATTTTTTCCTAAGATCCAATGTTTCAAATAAAAATAGTGGCAGTTTTTCCTAACGGTTTTTGCTATTCCGAAACGTAAAAACGTTACAAATTTTCCTGAAAAATGCCGATTTTTCGACCAAATGACCAAAGGCCCATTTTATTTTTATAAAATTTCCGCCTTTTTGAAAAATTTTTGGAAGTATTTTTATGTTTTGGTATTTTGAAAGTTCCGGTGCTTAGTAATAGTAAAGAAAGAGTAAAAAGCTTATTTGTATTATAAAATCTAGATACCAAAAAAAGTTGGTTTTGCCCCTAATAATTCGACATACCATTGGCATTTATGGGTTGTCATTTTCAAAATAAAATATTTATTTCAAGATTTGTCTGTCGTTAGAGCCCATTTCGCATAGTCGGGATCGAGATCGAATGGGTCGTAGCCTAAAAATATTTGTATTTTGATGGTCACCTGGCCTAACGAAAAAATTATGATTTGCTGGGCACATCGCCCGGATTCGATTCTTGGCGGGGCGTCTTTTCCGCTTTTTAAAATCCACAAACCTAGACTTGCCATCATCGGCGCCAATCTCGGGATTTTCCCCAGCAATTCGTCATTGAAAAATCCCTTCCAAGCTGTCATTGCCTTCAGGTTGACTCGTTGGACCACCTGATTGGTGCTGAACTCGTTCCTGGAAATGGGGAAATTGGGTTCTGGACTGTTAGCGGGGGGGAAGAGACGGACCACTTTTTGTTTTTCCACGTATACCTGTTTTTAATCTACAGTGTTTTTAGAGTTGTTTTTAACGGTTTTTGATGGCTAGAAAGTTATAAACGTATTTTAAACTTTTTTGAAAATTTGACCAAAAAACCTCCAGCAAATTGGAAGTTTGTCGCAATTTTGCGAAACATTGCCTTCTATTGAATCTGTAACCCTTAAATGAATCTTTTGCAATATCGGGGGGCGGAATTTTTTCTGCAATCTGAACGTTGCCTAGTAACTTAGAAATAAGCATCTCAATTGTGTGTGTTTTTTTAATTAAAACCCATACGGATTGAGCATCACTTCGCCGCCCACAAATTTCTCGTGTTGCAGCACGTTCTCCGACCACGGCTCCTCCAAAAACGCCAAGATTTCCGCCATCTGCTCGCGCGGCGATTGCACCAGTGATTCGTAGTGGACCTATTTACAATAAAAGCGCTTTTATCGTTTGATTTAATAAATTTTATAACGCAAAAAATTCTGAAGAATACCATCAAGCATCGCCCGGTGGCCCCTCGACATTGGCTGACCAGCTTGCGCATGTTGCCGTTCCAGGCTTGGAAGCATTGCTAAAATATTTTTTTTATATGTTGGGATATGAACATTTATTGTAATGAAAAAGCCGGTTCTGTTGCATTATCGGGGGGGGGGTTGAACTTTTTTGTGGAAGGGTAGACATGTGTAGTAACTTACTTGGAGCTGTTTTAATAGTGTTTTTAGTAAAATGGCACTATATTTCATCTAGAAAAACCATGTAAGATTTGAAAAATATTAGAAAAAATGCAGAAATTTTGGTCAACAATCGACCATTTTTGGTCGAAAAATCGATCTTTTGTATATTTTTTAATAAAAAAATTGTAAAGTTTTCACGTTTAGGAATGGCAAAAAACTAAAACAACCTTTTAGAAATTAGTTTAGATTAGTTAAAAGTAGTTTAGATCATACGGTTTCATTCATACCTCATAATTCGTTCTATTAAACCCGCTGATCGGGACTTCTCGCGTGATGACAGAATGGACCGTCGCGCGTGCATCTCTGAAATTGAAGTTTTCTTGTTCTTCTTCTTTTAGACCCACCGCAGCATCAAAATATACTTCGATTCCGGGAACAAATCAGCGAGATAGTCGACGTAAAATAATGCGAATGGGTCCTTATTGCAAAGTCTCGGGGCGAGGGTGCCGTGTCGAGTTATAATCTGAATGTTTTCAGACCGCAGAAAGAATTTACCTCCGAGATAAAAGCCGACACAGCTTCATCAAGCACTTTTTCGGATAGCCCGCTTCCTAAATAGGATCTCAAATATTTTTCAGCAATTGAAAACCTTCCGTGATCCCCCTGCGCTTCACCCATTCCTCATGGCTTTTCAGAATCCAGGGGATCACCATCGTTTCTTCGCCGCTGAAAACGTATGATCTCAAGAATCTATTTTTTTCGCTTACCATCTAATCCGCTCGTGTGCGTCCAGCATAGCTCTCATTAGCGTCGTTCCGGATCGGGGCATCCCGCCTGAAAAGCAAATCCGCTTTTAGAAAAAAACAATGAAGCAGGCACAATTGATTTATCAATTTTTATCTATATCTCTCTAGGGTAGATCGCTCCTCTAGTTATGAAACTGAATCTTTCGCATTATCGGGTGGGGGTGAAATTTTTTTAGTAGGATCCAATTTTTCAAATATAAAAAGACGAAGTGTTTCTAAAGTTTTTTTCTATTCCTTAACGTAAAACTTTTTAAAAAAATAGAAAAATATCGATTTTTCGGCCAAAGAGCGCGTTTTTTAGCCAAAATGTCATTTTTAAATTTTTTTTGAGATAGTTTTCTAGTTGAAATTAGTTTTATTTGATTAAAAATAATATTAAAACACTCACTGTGACACTTACTAGACGCTTCTAGACTTATACAAAAACAAACTTTGCGAAAATCGGTCTCATTAAAGCGTTATACCACTGCTAAATATTTGGAGTCTTTACAAACTAACGAACCAACGAACACAAACGGCTCCTCATTGCCCAAAATCCGCCTCGAAAACCGGGCGTCGAACATTGTCAAGGCCTGGACGAGGGTCGAGAAGTAGCTGCGCTCATTTTGCAGGCAGCAGATGATGAGCAGCAACAACACGATCAACACCGTCCCGAGGCCCGGCATCCACTTGGCCAGCTGGCATCGTTTTCTAAAACGTAGAATAGTTATAAAAATCAAACATTTGGCCAAACCTGTTCCAGCGCGGCTTCAACAGCCGGGTGGAGTCCATTTGGGTTAGCTGGAACGCCGCCGCGCGCCCGTCGCAGCTATTTGTTTAGGGAAATCGCGGTAAATACGTTTGTTTGGGCATAATTTTAGGAAAAAAAATGTAAAAAATTATAAATTTGTAAAGTAAAAAGAGTTTTTAGTCTTATTTTGTAGTCCGCGTGACACGCAAATTACTTTTGTTCTCGGCTGAAAATATTTGCCCTTGTTTCCTCTCCTTTTTTAGCACGATCAATTCGTCTTTCGCTCCATCCTTTCACGACCTTCTCTCTTTTCACTTCATCTTTTTACGATTTTCTTTAATAAGATCGATTGTCTTGAAAATAATAAAAGCGCGCGATAGTCACTCTCAGAGAAAACTTTTTATTTTCGGCTGAAAACATTGTTCATTTTTTAGCACAATCTGTACGCTTCATTTCTTTACCTTCGACGATTTTTCTTTATATAGGCAAAAATGATAATTATAACTTTGTTTAAAGGTAAAAGGATTTTAGTTTTGTAGCCCGCGCGAAACCCGCTCGTTTTCGGTTTCGTTTTCTTTTTTTTAGGCAAGCCTTTTCTTTATCACAGTCATTGATCTTGTTTTTCTTATGTTTCTTAACCCCTTTTTCCTTACTTTAAATAGTTTATATATTTTTCTTTCATTCAGGCACCCCAACAAGATGCCGTCGGCCTCCTACTCGATCCCGTGCCCCTCGCCCTTCGCTTCTCCCTACGAGGTAGTTTACTTGATCAAATTCTATACCTTTTTCTTTTTTTTTCAGGGTGAAGCCTCCTACTCGTCAGGCGCTGAAGGTATAACTTTCCCTTTGCGAGAAAACAGTTTCTCTTCTTTTAGAATCGCCACCGATCCCGCGCCATTCGCACTCCCAGCCGCAGCCGGTCTGCTTGGTCAGTGAACTGATGTTTTCTTTTCAAATCTGGGGCTTATTAGGTCAAGCGTCGGAGCGTCGAACCGGGCGACTTCACGCAGCCGACGAAGCGGGCGCGGCTGGGCGGGAGGAATGGCTTCCTCGGCCAAAGCAGCTACTCGTCGGGCGACTCTGGATACGGAAGGTCAAAATTTTTTCTTATCCTCAGATCGTTTTGTGCTTGCTCGTTATCCGGGGGCCTAAAACAGTTTGCTGATGCAGACTACAAAATGTCTCAACGAAAAACACCCTTCTAAATCGGCGCAAAGGTATCGGATCGAAACGATTCGGAAACGGCGATTTTGCAGCAAACTTCAACGTTGTGTTTTTCTTTAACCCGGTATTTTGCGAGCCATTTTGTAAAATTTTGCGGTTTTTCGGGGTTGCAGCTAATTTTGCCTCAACTTTCTGAAGCAAAATGGCCGGAAATCCCGTTAATTCTATGCCGAGGCCGTTCCTTAACGTTTTTAAATGCGTTGTAAGATACGCGTTTAAATAAACACATCGTTTTTAAGATAGTTGCAAACTCGCCGTTTCAAGGGCTTTTGAATGGTGTAACTATCATCTCGAAGCGATACTTCTGCATCGAGGCAGAGGGTTTTTTATTGCAAAACTGTTGGTCAGCGATAACGAGCCAAAACAAACCGTTTTTAGGTCCCAAGAAGAAGGGTCGCCAAGCGAGAGCCTGACCGACTCGTCATTCTTCTCAACTTGCCGCACCCACCTCTCCCAGCCGACCCCCAGCGACGACTACCTCACCAACAAGGAGTACCACCAAGATGTGATTTTAGCAATTTTTATGAAATCTTTCGTTTAGATCTATGCGGTCCTTCGGCAACGGGAGCTTGATGCGCCTACCATTCGCCCGCATTTCCTGCAGAGCTGCATGCTGGGCATCGAGACGGCGAGCTTCATGCGCCGGGCGGCCATTTTGCGGGCTAGGGTGGCGTCGGACGCTCTGCAGTGCAAAAAGGTATCCTCCTAAAGGTTTTGGCATGATTTTTTCCGTTTCTTGACTCACCTTCAATTGCTGTCCGGTTTTTCCTAAAACCGGAAACCAACTCTTTTTTAAGCAAGACTAGATGTTTTATGAATAGCGGATCCGTTTCTACCCTGTTTTTAACTATTCCTGTGCGTAGAAACCGTGCGAATTTTATTGTAAAATTTTCTTTTAGGTCAAAAAATTGGTTTTTCGACTAAAATAATAAAATTTTCGACTTTTATAACTATTTTTCCAGCTTTTTTTGAACTTTGCTACTTCAAATATTATTGTAGCTTACTAAAATCAATAAAGATACCCTTTATGATCGATTAATAGGCCAATCTAGCCCGCCTGGAAAAGTTGGTTGATCGATTTTCGATGTGGAAGGGATTTGACGATTTTTCTTTTCATCCATTCCGTCCCGATAATTGCGTTGTTTTTTGGGCGGGGAGCATACAGATACTAAGACTTAAAAAGTAACATTTATGAAGGCAAAAAGTCAAGTAAAAGTATTATTTTATGCTTTTTAGGAAACATTCCACCTCGCCGCTCACTATATGGACGCCATCTGGTCGACGCTGCAGCTCTGCGAACGCGAGGCCTTCTTTCAAGTTGCCGCCGTCTCCCTCGTCACTGCATCGTAAGGGATATTTTTTTGATTTTTCATACTTTTTTTTGTTTTAGAAAATGCGAAGAGTACAGCAGCATCCGCTTCTCAAAGGTGGCACGCGATGGGATCTGCGAGATTACCAACATTTCCGTTCGCGACTTGGCGCAACTCGAGGATACTTTTCTGCATGCATTGAAGTTCGTAATATTGAAAACAAAAGAATCCAAAAAATTTTCACCCGCTTTTTTGCAGCTTTACACCACTGTTCGTATTTTTTTGATTGCTAGAAAGGTATAAGGAACTGTTCACAGTTTTTTAACCTTTTCTGGCCATTGTTGTTTCATTTTCACGAAAAAGTCAAAGCTTTTTGAAATTGCTACAATTTTTTGGTGGGCTTTGATACCTAAAACTGGGCAAAATGCTATAAAAAGGCTTTATTATTTCTGAATACTTTACAGCCTTGTAGCGCAAAGGGAAATCGGGATACAAAAATCTGGACGTGGATAAATAATTGAGTTAAACCAAAATAAAATTAGATAAAATACTTAAAGCGTCTTATCGTAATCCTAGTTTTATAGAATATTTTTCCAGCTGGCGTCTCACCGTTGCGACACCGTACACCTTCACGACCTACATGCACACCGTCGTCGCTGAGAGTACAGAACGTTGCGTCGAGCTATCTGATGTAAGCTTATTTTAACTGATCCAGACTCCATGATTCAATCGTTACGCCAGGAAAAGTCGGACTGCCTGCCAAGGGGGATCGACCGATGCCTTCTGACGCCCTTTAAATATGGATTTTTTCTAGCTCCTCATCTTCCTCGCCGTTCTTGACGATCGGAGCCGCGAGTGGAAAAACTTCGAGGTGGCCTACGCGGCTGTGCTGGTCTCGAACACACTGGTTGAATATTCAAAGGTAAAGCTTGTTTTTTTAATGTCATATTCTTTTAGGTTTTCTACGAGCCGTGCTCCCTGCAGCAGCTCGAGGCCAAACTTTCGGCAAGGACCAAGGTGCGCGAAGGGGCTACGCGGCCGCTCTGTCTGAAGCTCGTCAAAATGTATGAAAAGGTGTGGTTTTATCCCGATTTCGCTGAAGTTTTGGGCCCGGGGAACACGAATTCTTGTTTTTTTTTCGGCCGTTCGTTCTGTTGATAATTAATAATGTATTTTTTAGTGCTTTTTGATTGATAAAAGTTCTTAAAACTTGAAAATTCGAAAATTCTGCGTTTTTGGCGATTTTTCGTACATTTTTGGTCAAAAAGGCAAAGATTTTCGAATTTTTTTGGAGATGTTTATAGCTAAAGAGTGTTCGAAATTCTACAAAAAAAAACGGGTGTATCAACTATAATAAAAAAGTAAAGACGTCCGTCCGTGTGTCTGTGTGTCTGAAGCCGAATTCAACTCGAAGGGGAAAGGAGCTAGAGCTTAGCTCTCTTCGGATTCGGATAGAGCGTGGTCAGAAACCCCCAAACTGATAAAAAAATTATGAAAAAGTTTTAATTTAAATTATTAAAATTAACTTTGAAAGTGGCGCCTTAATAAAACGAGTGGGGGCCCCTCTCCCGGGAGGCCACGCCCCTTTTCTCTTCGCCCCTCTTTCCCAGGCCCCTTCCCGCGCCCAGATCGCTTTCTTAATTTACTTTAATACTTTTTAATACGTTTTAATTATGTTAATTCGTTATTTAAATCATTTAAAGTATCTAAAGCCATCGGGAAGGTCTTTAGGTAGTTTTTGAAGGGGATTTCGGCTATGGGGGTATCTGAAGCCATCAGGAAGGTATTTAGGTAGTTTTTGAGGGGGATTTCAGCCATGGGGGGTATCTGAAGCCATCAGGAAGGTATTTTGGTAGTTTTTGAAGGGGATTTCGGCTATGGGGGGTATCTGAAGCCCTCAGGAAGGTATCGAAGTAGTTTTTGAAAGGGATTTCGGCTATGAGGGTTTTCTGAAACCATCAGTATATCCTACTATATCCTACTATATATAAAAAAATAGTGTCTGTGTGTGTGTGTGTATATTTGCATGCACTTCCGTTTGGATGTTCCGCACCTACAGCCTCGGGGAAGGGTTTTTTGGATAGGGAAGAAACGACAATAGGTTTAGAATGGTCCGGAATCGCACGCATAAAAATTTTGAAAAATTGCGGTTTTCGCTATTAAAAATAGGTTTTTGTAAAACCCTGTTTGTTAGGGGAAATTAGCATGCGCCGGAAGTAGGAAGAGCCTATATAAAGGGACAAAGGAGCCGTTTTTCACTTTTTTCTTGCTAGAATTCAGGAAGAAACATGCAAATTAAGGACTTTCACAGGTCCTGGACGGGGCCAGGGTTGAAAAGCCGCGAAGCGGTTTTTCAACCCTGGTATAAAAAAAATAGTGTCTGTGTGTGTGTGTGTGCATTTGCATGCAACTTCCGTCCGTATGTTCCAGTCATATCTCAATAGGGGAGGAAGTTAAGGGTACGTATGATATGTCATTAGGTGCGTAATGGTCATGACACGACTGCACGCATATTAGTTTTTTTAAAAATCAGCTCTTTTCGATATTAAAATTAAGTTTTTGTGAAGATCTCGCTCGGCCTCTTTGTTAGGAATCAATTAGCATGCACCGGAAGTGGGTGAATCCTATATAATGTGCGAGAGGACGCGCTTTTCATTTTTCGGCACAGGAATTCAGGGGTTTATGCAAAGCGATGAAGTATGGGGGTAAGACGGGGGGCCAGGGTTGAAAAGTCGCGAAGCGGCTTTTCAACCCTGGTGTATTGATGAAAATAGCAAGGGATGTGGTGGTGTCGAATATGAAGTGGGGCCCGAAGGCCAGTCGATTACAGTCGCGAAGCGGCTGTAATCGGCTGGTTTTGTTCTAACGCTGTTAGGAAAAAAATGGAAAAATAACTGATTCCCCCAATAACCGTCCTGTACATACATTTTTTGCTTCTAGACGCTCCGGAAGCAAAGCTACTTGCCCGAGTCGATCCCGCTCGTCGTCTTCAGCTGGGAAGCCATCAGCAGGACGAAGCAGTACTTCCGCGTGGGTTTTTGATGGCATGATTCAAACTCGGTGTTTTTGGGAAACGAGCCGCTTCTCCCGAATCTTCGGCAGCCAGGACCTCAACGACTCGCTCAGCACCCTCACCACGACGAGCACCATCTACAGTCAAGATTTCGCATCCATCCGTTCTGCCGGCAGCACCCAAGACGAAGCGGCCATCAACACCAAGCCTGAAAAAGACTTCTCGCACCTCCTGGACCCTTTCGGCCCGCTCTAGAACGCCCTAAATTATGTCCCGGTCGATTGTGAGTCTCCTCTGCCCGCAAATGCATGAAAATACATGAAACCCACGTTCCCAAAACGTTGAAATTGTTGTAATAGGATGGACAAATCTGATCATAGTTTCACCTTGCTAATAATCTTTCACGTCAGCCACATTTTTTCAGTGATGGTCCCCAGTTTTTTTGTTGTTTTGTATAATAATCTGCTCGCCCACTTTCCCACCCTGCCGCGGGCCCACGGCGTATTATGTTGGAATTTTGTAGTCAGTTTGTTGTCGGCGCTCTAGATTTTTGTCCGTTGTTGTTTTCCGCTGCTTCGACGGCCGTTGGCGTTTTTAATAAAACTTGGCGCACTAATTTTGGATGAGGATGCCTTCCTCAAGGATTCTGCTAGCCTGCCGCTCCTCGGTTATTTATCCAGTTTTTAGCTATAAATCGCGAAATTACTTCTCAAGAGCGGTTGCTAAACGTAAAAACTTTAGCATTTTTTATAAAAAATACCAATTTTTCGACAAAAAACGTTACTTTTTTGAAAGTTTTAGGTAGTTTTTCCAGTTGAAATAGGGTTTTATTGGACGAAAAACATTATTAAAAACTTCTTATCAAGTTACGAGTTATTTCTGGCATTAAATTTTGTACCCCCCCCGATAATGTGAAGGGTCTCCTCAATAATCTCTGCTCGCCTGTCCCCAGCATTTTGTTTCTACTTTATACAGTGTAAGCGTCGATGATGGGCCGAAAATTCTCGACATACAAATCGGGTGACTGGAGCGTCTCGTACACGTTGATCATTTTTGTCTTCGGGAATTCGCCGTCGTAGAGGTTCTAAATAATCCATCTGGTTAGCTCTATAATTTTTCAAACTAAGCTTACCCCCAGCACCGATCCGATCAAATTTCGCTTCGCATTTTCAAAGGTCAGGCCCTAAACCTTGAAGTTAGCAATTTTTGGAGTTTCAAAACTACCTTTTTCATACGAGAGGCGATCGGCGCATCGGCTTGTTTCATCTAAACACCGATTTGGGCAGGACTTCGACAAATCTCGACAAAATCATTGCGATCGCCCAGACTCACCGTCTTTTGCCACTCAAAAACCATGGCCACCAGCGCGTAATTAGCGTCATTATCGTAGTAGACTTGATAGTAATTGTAAGCGTTTTTTAACCGGAATTTATTTTTTAAGAAAAAGTCCTAAAGGATCCCTGCTAGCCTGCCTTCTCCTCTTCCTCAACATTCTCTGCTCGCCTGCCCCCAGAAACCGACTTACATATGCTACTTTCTCCTCGGAAAGCGAAGCATTTTGGCGAATCGCAGGCATGATTTTTGCGGTGAAAAATCGATAAGCGGTGCAGAGGCTTCGCGCAAAATTGAAGATCTTATTTTGGAAGCGGGCGCCCTAAATTGGTGTAAATAAATGCTTTACAAAATGAAAATATGGGGAAAAACCCAAGTCCAAAAAGCATACTCACCAAAGCGGACGCGATCCTGGTCATATAGAAATTCTTGTTCTTGCAGCTACGGTAGTGGTTGAAGCGGCGTCGGAGCTGAAAAAGGGGCAGGCTAGCAGAGATTGTTGCGGAAGAGGAGAGGGCAGGCTAGCAGAGATTGTTGCGGAAAAACCCACCGTTTCCGCGTAATCCGTCCCAATGTGGTTTTGAAATTCGTAGCGTAACCGTTTCGCGGATAATTTTGGCTGATAGCTGCCGTGAATCTGTTTCTGCAGGGTACAGTCAACTAGCGAAATTAGAATATACACTTTTAGCCACATTTTAGAGCCTAGAATCTTGTGGTTCTTGTAGAGAGATCGAGGGGGCGATGGTCAGCAGTAAAAATCGGAACGCAGGCATTTTTTTTGGGTGAATCAGAGCCAGATTTTGCGTTTTTAATTGGCTACCGGGTCGGGGGGCAACGGTCGAGTTGGGGGTATCTTTTTGGAACTGTCAGACTGCCAGGTTGGATCTTTGATGCTGAAAAACCCCAAAACCTGCAGAAACGGGAAAATGCTAGAGGTAGGCTGGCAGAAATTCTTTGGCAAAAATTAAAATGGTCGCTAGAAATAGGAGAAATTTTAAAAAATGAGAAGTATGTTTCAGGGAATTTGGGTATGATAATTTGCATACCATGTAGATAAACGGCTTTTCCTGGGGCTAGACTACAAAATTCGGCACGGAAACCCTCATTTTCATTCCTGCCAGCCAGCCCACGGGGGTTCCGACGTTCCGGTGCTCGCCACTCCCCCGCGAATTTCTCGAAGGCATATCAGGTAAATTTATTTTATTCTAATTATTAATGATGCAAATTGCTCGGAAAATGGAGTCAATAAAAGCTAATGAGTCAAATTATTTTGAGGTATAACACGACGGCCAACCACAACAAGCGATGGGCGAGTTAGTTCTGCTGGAGCCCGGGCGTAAGGTATCGTTTCGAAGTTTTTGACTTCAAAAATCTTGTAAAATTTTTTCTAGCAATTCTTGACGTAGAAAACAACTTAAACATAAAGTTTGGAAGTTTTAAATACGAAATGCGGAGGAAAATCGCAGATTTTGGTTGTAAAATCGAAGTTTTTGTCATTTTAGAAAAAAAAGGTGTGAAATTTCGACTTATAGGATAGTAAACAGACATCGATAAATATTGTTGTTTTCAAAAATGGATCCTAAAGAAATTATCCCCCCCCCCCGCTAATGCAAAAGCCCCCTTTTCAGGTGAACGAATGGGTGATCGAGAAGAAGCTGGGCGAGGGCGCCTTCGGTGCCGTCTACCGCTGCAACAATGGAAAAGGCGACTTGTTTGCCCTCAAGGTATAAAAATAATAAATGGCTATGATAAAGTTAATAGTAATATATAAAACATCATTCTCTAGGTCGAAGGCAAGAACGAGGCGATCCAGCTGCTCAAGCTCGAGGTGTACGTGCTCAACGACTTGGGCAAGGCCGGCGGCCGGCATTTCTGCAAAATTGAGGACAAGGTATCTCTAGCTCTCTCTCTCTCTCTCTCTCTCTCTCTCTCTCGCTCTCTCTCTCACCTCCGTTTCCAGGGCCAACTCGACAATTTCAACTACGTCGTGATGACGTTCGTCGGCCGATCTCTACAAGACCTCAAAGCGCTCGCCCCTAGTGAGCTTTTTGCGATTTTAAAGGGCCAGTGAAGGCAAATTAAAGCACCCTAAAACATAACATTTTTTTTCAGCCAAAAAGTTGTCGCTCGGCACGGCGATGAGCGTCGGGATCCAGTGCCTCGAGGCCCTCGAAGATCTGCATGGAATCGGGTGCGGAGCCTCAACAATCTCTGCTAGGCCGGCCCTCTCCTCTTCCTCATCAATCTCTGCTAGCCTGCCCTTTTCAGTTACCTCCATCGTGACGTCAAACCCGGGAACTACACCATCGGTCGCCCCGAGGTCAAGGAGCTCAGAAAGGTCTACGTTCTCGACTTCGGAATGTGCCGAAAATTCGTGCACGACGACGGGACGATCAAGCAGCCGCGAGCTGTCGCTGGTTTCCGAGGTACGGTATCATTTTTTGAGGGGGCAGGCTAGCAGATATCTTTGAGGGAAACCAAAAACAACGAAAATCCCATTTTAAAGGAACCGTGAAGTACGCGCCGGTGGCCTGCCACATGAACCGCGAGCAGTGCCGACTGGACGACTGCGAGACGTGGCTGTACATGCTCGTCGAGCTGACGAAGGGCACGCTGCCGTGGCGTAACATGAAGGTATCGCTCGCTCTCACGCTCTCCCTCGCTCTCGCTCTCTCTCTCTCTCTCTCGCCCACCACTGAATTCCAGGACATTCGCGAGATTGGTGACGCGAAGCGCGGCGTGCGGATGAGCGAGCTGGGCCTGAAGCAGCTGTTCGGCGGCTGCCCGCGCGAGTACATTGATGTGCTGAGGTAGCCGTCATTTGCGAGTCTGAAAACTGTAGCCTGTAGTTTAGTATTAATAAGGTATTAACAACGGTTGGAATTACCGTACTAATTTTTTGCGTATTTAGGGTGATCGACGGGGCGAAATTCTTCGACGAGCCCGACTACGCCAAGATGTACAACCTGCTGCGCCAGGGGATGCGCAGCACCAACGCGAGGGTCGGTTACCGGTCCCGTTAAGCGTAGTATTACAGCTGCAAAATTTATCGGAATTTTGTTACAGGAATACCCGTACGACTGGGAGGAGTTCCTGATGCGCCAGATGGAGGAGGAGAAGAAAAAGAAGGAGAAGGGCGAGGGGTCGGCCAAGGCGCCCAAGAAGGAGAAGAACGAGGAGGTATTTTTCGTAAATTTAATTTTTAATTTAAATAGTTTAAAAATTACGTTTCAAATTTTATCAAGGCAATTTCGATCTAAAAACCGGTTTCCAGGACAAGCAAGCCGCCGAGGCGAAGAAGCAGGCCATCCTCGACCAGCAGGAGGAGGTGCGGATTAAAATCGTTTGACCGAAAAGGGTTGAAATTTATGCGAAACACGATTTTTACGAGGCTTAGGCAGGATTAGGCTTAATCTCAGGCTTAGGCTTAGCTTAGGTTTGTGAGTAGGCTTGGGCTTAGGCTCAAGCTTAGGCTTAGGCTTGAGCTTGGGCTTACATTTGGTTTAGCTTAGACTTACTTAGGCTTAGGTTGGACTTAACCTCAGGATTAGGCTTTGCAGCGATTAGCTTAGGCTTAGCTTAGACTTAGGCTTAGGCTTAGGCTTAAGGCTAGACTTTGGATTGGAGGTTTTACTGTGTTTTTTTTGCAGGACAAGAAGAACAAGGACAAGAAGAAGGACGACAAGAAAGACGACAAAAAGGACGAGAAAAAAGACGAGAAAAAGGAGGACAAGAAGGATGAGAAGAAGGAGGACAAGAAATAGCGAGAAGCCGAAGAAGAGGATGAAGAACCCGTAGAAGACGTCCCGTCCCCCCCTCACTCTATTTCGTGCCCCCCACCACCCGGCTACCGTACCCCTTCGCCCCCCCTCACTAAAAAGATCTCGAATCCGATTAAATCCTGCACTGTTCACATTCACCGTTTTTCTGTAGACTCGATGCCCGGCTTTTTCGACGAATAAAGTTGAATTTTTTTGCTTGCAATTTTTTACACCATTATATAAAGGTTGTGGTTCTACATCAAGCGGTGACTCGTAACGCACGTGACGCCCGTGACGCGACACGACTCGCACCGCACACTGCACGTGACGAACGCACGCACGCGACGCGACACGCTCGCAACGCACGCACACGACGCGCCACACCACACGCCGGCACGCGACTCGACGCGACACGCACCGCGGCAAGCGACGTAGCGGCGGCGCGAGACGCAACGCAACCCGCCGGTCGCGAGACGTAACGCACGCAGCCACGCGACGCGACACGCATCGCTACGCAGCCGCCGCGATAGCTAGCGGCAATATCGCGCGACAAGCAACGCACTCACGCCACGCGATACGCCAGGAATGCACGCGACGCACGCGACCTACGCACGGCCCGTGGTACGCATGCACGCAACGTCGTGACACGCATCGCATGCGACGCGATGCAGCACGCACCGACCGCGGCAAGCAGTGCAGGTACAACACGAGACGCAACTCAACCAGCTCGTCGCAGATAGCGAGATGCAACTCGACACCCAGCGAACGCACGCGACGCGACACGCAACGCAGCACGAAATACCCAGTAGAGCAACGCGCCCGCCGTGACAAACAAAGCGCACGCTATTTAGAAACTTGGATACGCAACGCGTTTGGCCGGCGTGCATCAGCCGTACCGCTCTGCAGTGTCAGGGTGAGCGCGTGCGTTGCGTGGCGCGGTCGCGGCACGGTCTTTAGGATTCGAGTCGGTGAGGTGATATAGTGATTCGGAGTAGAGTTGTTATAACTCAAACAACAAACAACAAATTATTCAAACAACTCAAACAAATTTGCTTTGTTTGAACTCGAAAAGTTTCAAACCAAACAACCTTGTTTGATTTGAGTTCCAGGGGATCAAATCAAACAAGATTGTTTGACTTGTTTGAACTTGTTTGAGCACCCAAAGCTGTGAGATTTTTGGGGATTTTTGATCGATCGGAAGCGAATTCAAACATTCAAAAACAAATTTTACCGGAAAAAATTTATGCAAATTGCGAAAATGCTGAAAAATCACACTTTAAATCCAAAATTAGCATACATTTCAAACAAGGTCAAACAAAACTCAAACTGCTCAAATCAACTATAATAATTTTGCTGTGGTGTCCGTCCGTCCGTCCGTCCGTCATGTCCCGGATTCAACTCGAAGGGGAAAGGAGCTAGAGCTTAGGTCTCTTCGGATTCGGATAGAGCGTAGTCAGAAACCCACAAACTGATAAAAAAATTACGAAAAAGTTTTTGTTTAAATTATTAAAATTAACTTTGAAAGTTTTTCCTTAGTAAAAGGGGCGGGGGACGGAGGTTGGGGTGATTTTGGACATAGTGAGCCAGGTCGCGCGCGTTTCGTGGATGAAAAATTTCACGGGGGATTTCATTTCTTTTTTCTCTCATTCCATCCGGCCGGTCGTTATTTTCGTTTTTTAAAAGGATTTCTGCTAGGGGAGGTATCTTAAGCGATCGGGAAGGTATTTAGGTGGTTTTTGAAGGGGATTTCGGCTATCGGGGGTATTGATAGAGGTGGGAAAGGATGTGGTGGAGTGGGACATGTAGGGTAGCCCGAAGGCGAGATGGTTGCAGTCGCGAAGCGACTGTAACCATCTGGTAGTTCAAACAATCTTGTTTTGTTTGAGCGATCAACGGTCATCTCAAACAAAACATGTTTGATTTGAATCTCCAAAAATCCTATCAAACAACGTTGTTCAAACAAGATTGTTTGAGGCCTTGTTTTGTTTGAGTTATAACAACTCTAATTCGGAGGCCTTGCATTGAAATGGATTCTGCCTTGCGGCGACACGCAACGCGTCCGCAAACGCGAGCTGGTCGTCACATATACACAAGGGAAGGACCGCGTCTGCGTCGCGTGTTTCGGCGCGGGCGCGTTTCAAAGCCATACTCAGCAATCAATAAAATCCATCATCATAAATTGCGTTGCTTCGGCGTTGCGTTGTGGGTTCGTGCCGGCGTTGCGTTGCGTTGAGTTACGTTGCGTAGCGTCGTGCGTGTGTGCGTGCGTGCGTTGCGTCGCGCCGCGGTCCGATATGAATCCCTAGCCCGTGTCATGTGTTTCAGCCCCGTTTAATGGGATGGTGGTCCGGCGGCTGTAAGCGTGTAGTGCAACGGAATCTGAGGAATTGCAATAGCCATTTGTCAAAACTCTGTGTTTTGTATACAGGTGGGGTCGAAGGAAAATATTTATTGGTACTGTATTTGTGTTTGTCTTGGTCCATTGTTTTTATTGTGCTTCGAGTAGAGTAGAGAGTAGTCGGGAGGTTCAGGGCTGGAAAATGAAAATTAGATTGGATGCCGGGGTTCTTTTGCCTTATCGGTGGGGGTAAATTTTTTCCAAAGCCGCAGAAAAGCCGAGTCACTAAATTGTATGCCTTTTGATGGTGTTTTTGGTGCAAGCGAAAAACCCCTCAAAAACAGCTTCAAAAAATTTTAAAATGCAAAACTTGGATTCGAAAACTCATGTTTTTCCTTCTTCAAAATTGGATGCTAACCGAAGAAGGTTGTCCCCCGTTAACCGCCCCCCGATAGTGCCAAAGACCCAAAAGCAAAACAGCCAAGTTTAAAGCTGAGCTCAATTTAATAGCGAAAGAAGAAAGACTTTGTGTGATTAAATCTAACTTTGCGAGCTTTTTGTGGAACGTCCCGCACCTTTTCGTCATCAGTGAAGATGAGCCCGTCTCCCATCAAAGTCGCCGGCTCATCCACAGCGCGGCCGTCCGTCTCGTCCTGGAAAGTAGGTTTTTGTATTATCTATCAGGGTTCTTCCCAAGGAGCGCTTATCAATTTTCCTCAACAATCTCTGCTAGCCTGCCCTCTCCTCTTCCTCAACAATCTCTGCTAGCCTGCCCTCTCCTCTTCCTCAACAATCTCTGCTAGCCTGCCCACTCCTCTTCCTCAACAATCTCTGCTAGCCTGCCCTCTCCTCTTCCTCAACAATCTCTGCTAGCCTGCCCTCTCCTCTTCCTCAACAATCTCTGCTAGCCTGCCCACTCCTCTTCCTCAACAATCTCTGCTAGCCTGCCCTCTCCTCTTCCTCAACAATCTCTGCTAGCCTGCCCTCTCCTCTTCCTCAACAATCTCTGCTGGCTTGCCCTCTCCTCTTCCTCAACAATCTCTGCTAGCCTGCCCTCTCCTCTTCCGCAACAATCTCTGCTAGCCTGCCCTCTCCTCTTCCTCAACAATCTCTGCTAGCCTGCCCTCTCCTCTTCCGCAACAATCTCTGCTAGCCTGCCCTCTCCTCTTCCTCAACAATCTCTGCTAGCCTGCCCTCTCCTCTTCCGCAACAATCTCTGCTAGCCTGCCCTCTCCTCTTCCTCAACAATCTCTGCTAGCCTGCCCTCTCCTCTTCCTCAACAATCTCTGCTAGCCTGCCCTCTCCTCTTCCTCAACAATCTCTGCTAGCCTGCCCTCTCCTCTTCCTCAACAATCTCTGCTGGCCTGCCCTCTCCTCTTCCTCAACAATCTCTGCTAGCCTGCCCTCTCCTCTTCCTCAACAATCTCTGCTAGCCTGCCCTCTCCTCTTCCTCAACAATCTCTGCTAGCCTGCCCTCTCCTCTTCCTCAACAATCTCTGCTGGCCTGCCCTCTCCTCTTCCTCAACAATCTCTGCTAGCCTGCCCTCTCCTCTTCCGCAACAATCTCTGCTAGCCTGCCCTCTCCTCTTCCTCAACAATCTCTGCTAGCCTGCCCTCTCCTCTTCCTCAACAATCTCTGCTAGCCTGCCCTCTCCTTTTCCTCAACAATCTCTGCTAGCCTGCCCTCTCCTCTTCCGCAACAATCTCTGCTAGCCTGCCCCTCTCCTCTTCCTCAACAATCTCTGCTAGCCTGCCCTCTCCTCTTCCTCAACAATCTCTGCTAGCCTGCCCTCTCCTCTTCCTCAACAATCTCTGCTAGCCTGCCCTCTCCTCTTCCTCAACAATCTCTGCTAGCCTGCCCTCTCCTTTTTCCCAACAATCTCTGCTAGCCTGCCCTCTCCTCTTCCTCAACAATCTCTGCTAGCCTGCCCTCTCCTTTTTCCCAACAATCTCTGCTAGCCTGCCCTCTCCTCTTCCTCAACAATCTCTGCTAGCCTGCCCTCTCCTTTTTCCCAACAATCTCTGCTAGCCTGCCCTCTCCTTTTTCCCAACAATCTCTGCTAGCCTGCCCTCTCCTCTTCCGCAACAATCTATGCTAGCCTGCCCTCTCCTCTTCCTCAACAATCTCTGCTAGCCTGCCCTCTCCTCTTCCGCAACAATCTCTGCAAGCCTGCCCTCTCCTCTTCCGCAACAATCTCTGCTAGCCTGCCCTCGCCTCTTCCTCAACAATCGCTGCTAGCCTGCCCTCTCCTCTTCCTCAACAATCTCTGTTAGCCTGCCCTCTCCTCTTCCGCAACAATCTCTGCTAGCCTGCCCTCTCCTCTTCCGCAACAATCTCTGCTAGCCTGCCCACTCCTCTTCCTCAAAAATCTCTGCTAGCCTGCCCTCTCCTCTTCCTCAACAATCTCTGCTAGCCTGCCCTCTCCTCTTCCTCAAGAATCTCTGCTAGCCTGCCCCCTCCTCTTCCTCAACAATCTCTGCTAGCCTGCCCTCTCCTCTTCCTCAACAATCTCTGCTAGCCTACCCTCTCCACTTCCTCAACAATCTCTGCTAGCCTGCCCTCTCCTCTTCCTCAACAATCTCTGCTAGCCTACCCTCTCCACTTCCTCAACAATCTCTGCTAGCCTGTCCTCTCCTCTTCCTCAACAATCTCTGCTAGCCTGCCCTCTCCTCTTCCTCAACAATCTCTGCTAGCCTGTCCTCTCCTCTTCCTCAACAATCTCTGCTAGCCTACCCTCTCCACTTCCTCAACAATCTCTGCTAGCCTGTCCTCTCCTCTTCCTCAACAATCTCTGCTAGCCTGCCCTCTCCTCTTCCTCAACAATCTCTGCTAGCCTGTCCTCTCCTCTTCCTCAACAATCTCTGCTAGCCTACCCTCTCCACTTCCTCAACAATCTCTGCTAGCCTACCCTCTCCTCTTCCTCAACAATCTCTGCTAGCCTGCCCACATTCCTGCCAAAGCTCCGTAGGTAGTCTAGGCCTAGTCAAAGTATCGTACTGAGTCCGGTCGGCTGTTGATGTTGTACACGACACGCTCGAGTTGGCTGGCGCAGTGGACGGCCTCGTTGACGGGCATCAATTCCCCGCTGTCCTTGTCGAACACGCGCAGTTCATCGCCGTTGAACACGACACCATCGGTGGTCGAGCCTATAAGCACGACAATAAAGAAAGACACGAAAAAACTATTTGGAAACTGAAATTAAAAATTAGTTTTTTGAAAATACAAGTTTCATTGCATTGATCATAGCAATAGATTTTTTGAATTTCAAAACATCAGTTATTCATAACCTATAATAAAGTATGTTTCAAATCATTTCTGTGGTCTGCAGCACTTTCTTGATGTTTCAAACATGTTTCCCAGGCCGCTCAAGCCTTCCAAGTCGTTTAAGCCTACTGTAACCGCACCATACCATACCCAAACGAACTGAGATGCGGGCATGCTTGAGGGTGGTGCGCATTTCCTCCTCGCGAACACCGATCAGCATCGGCTTCCGGACCACCAGCGGGAAGGAGAGGGCTAAAAAGAGAATTAAATTAGTTTGGTACAAAACGTTGCAAAACTAACAAATAATGAACATGCGGTACTTACGCGGGATATGGCGCACGGTGGCCGGCATGTCGACCAGCTCGCTTGTTCCAAAGTCGACGAGCAGGATTTGCACCTGGAAATAAAATCGCATTTCCAAGCCACTCCCCAACGAGTTAAAATTAATTTTAATTTTAATTTCTCAAAAACGTCGAAAATTTTGAACTAATTGTGTATTTTTATGCTCAAAACCCCCTGAAAGGAGCAGTTTTATGCGAGATCGGAATTTAGCGCGTTTTTTAGCAAGGCGTTTAAAGGAATCAGGAAGGCCCGCGAAAAATTAGCATAAAACGGGCCTTCGCTCTAAATTGGCAAAGATCTTATCTGATCCCTCCGGCCTCGCCCCACTCTCTGCCCGTCTTTTTCGCGTTACGGGTTTGGACGTTGCCAATTATAGGTAAGCCCTGACCTGCTGGGCCTTCCTTATCCCTTTAATTACGTTTAGGCCGAAAAAGGAACCAACCCCGCCCTGGCGCCAGCATGTTTCACACGCGCCAGGGGTGCGCGCCTCCTTGACGGGCGCAATGCGCAATGCGAAAAGAAGTAATACTACGGTTTTTGCTTTTCCGAGCGCCGTCACCGATATCATTCAAAAATGCACATGCTAATTTGGGCAAAATCTCTATGGTTCTTTGGCATTATCGGGGGTAGTTTCACAGGAAAAAGTGTCTTTTTGCAATCCCGTTTTCCAACAATTGCGAAGCGCTGAGACTTTACAAATTTTTGTGAAAAATTAATATTAAAAATGCAAAAAAATTGTTTAAAAATGCAAAAATGTCGATTTTCGAGCAAAATTACGAACTTGAAAATTAAATTACGGTAGTGGGAATTTCTTGGCTTGAACAAAATCACCCCCCCGATAATGCGAAAGAACCAGTTTTTGATTAAAGACACAGATCCCATGCTATTTATCTATATTTTTCTATACAAATTTGAGGATAACAAGCCCGCGAACGTAAACAGTAGCCGACCGGAAGTGGGCCCGCGATCCGCGCCAATTAAAGCATCAAATGTGACAGGGCAGCAGGCCGGCGGCCAAGGTATTTATGCGGAAAATCTCCCGCGAGTAGCGCACCAAAATATAAAGGTATTTGCTGATTTTTGCCGTCCTTGCCCGATAATGGGAAGAACCAACAAATGATATTTTATTGCTAATTTTAGTAAAACATTTATTTTGGCTTAAGTGCAGGTTACCCCCCCCCCCAGCCCAGCTCCTCAGCCATAAGTCCTATTAATGCGCCGAGTATCTCAAAAAGTTCGCCGTGGTTGAAAACCTCTAAAAAAGTTGTTTACTTGCGCCAAAAATTGTTACAAATTTTTTTACAAGATTTTGAAAGTTGAAAAGATTAACCCGCTATGCTTCAATGTACTAGGAGTCTAAAACTCAAATATTTTTATTTTCCCGCTATTTTTTTCGACTCAACCGTACTGTAGTCTTATTCTACAGAGCGAGAGCTACATTTTGGTACTATTGACAGCTCCGTAAGTCAAAAGATAGCCGCGATACGAAAACTCACTTTGGAACAGCAAAAATTAACTAAAGAAAACCCAGACTTATAATTGTTATAAAAAATTGTTAACAATTTTTGGCGCAAGTAAACAACTTTTTTAGAGGTTTTCGACCACGGGAAAATTTTGAGGTATTCGACGCATTAATAGGACGTATGGCTGAGGAGTTGGGCTGGGTGGGGGGGGGGGGGTAAATTGCGCTCTAACCTTTATTTTGACATACATTCAGGTTACGAAGTCAGATCCGGATTAATATTCTATTAGTCGTAATAAAATGTGTTATAATTCTGCTCCACTTCCGGGGGGGTGATGGACCTATTTTTTTGTGGGGAGCTTTATGAGTGTGGGCAGATGGTCGAGGATAGCCCCCCGTAGCAAATATTGTTTGCACATCCCTAGAGGGGCGGAGGCTGTGACCCGAGACGGTTTTTCGGTGGCGTCCCCCACAAATGCTACAGCCATTTCTATATTTCTGCTATATTTCACCCTGGGCTATTTATTTAGAAGATTTTGGCTTCAACCGTCCTTTAATATGGCAAAAATCGACCTAGAATTAATCACCTGTAAATGGTGATCCGAATCGCCGAAGTTCAAGCATGAATCGCGTGCATTGAGGCATTAAAGACGCTAACAATGACCCGAACTGGCTTTTTGGACGAAACAGAATTCTTGATAGCCGGGTTTCGGCTTTTTCCCTATTCGACATTCTCCAGATTTTTATAATCTACACCATCAACATATTTTCAGCCAATTCCATAATTAAATGGGCTCCGAACTGCCAAATCAAAGCCCTTTTGGGACGGCTCTTTGATTTCTGGCAAAATGCCAGCGGGCGCTGCGGGACGAGAGCCCTAATTCTTTCGATTTTTGCGCGAAGTTGGTTTTGCCCGGTTTCTTTGTGAAAACACTATAACTCGCGCATTCAGAGCCCATTTTTGAAATCCTCACTTAATTTTAAATAGTTTTGAAGTTTTAAGCATCAAATTTGGCCCAGAAACAGCCGAGAACGTGATATCGAGGTGACAACAGGCAATTTCAAATTTGCGAGCTTCCCGGGCCCGGGGTGTAAAGAGGCCTCCAACGTCCAGGGCTCCGATTTTCGCGCCGTCTCTCAATTTTTTGCATTTCGCAGCCCCTTTAAGAAACTCCTACAGTTTTGGAGCGTCTCCCTGGATTCAGGTTTCTAGCTTGATTCGACCGTTAACCGTAGGCTGATTAAAAGCAGTGAAACCTTCCGGCACTGCCCTTTTTATGAAACATAATTTTTCTAAAAAAAGGGTGTTTGAACTTTTTTAGACTACTGTCATACCTTCTCCATCAACGTATTTGCAACCAATTCCATAATTAAGACCACGTTCGTAAATTTTGGGAGGGCCCTCTCCATTGGCCATATATTCAGCAATTTCCGGCTTCAATCGTCCTTTTAAACCCGAAAAAAATGGCTTTTGTTACAAAAAAAATTTTTCAAAAACTAAAAATTGTTGACAAAATTGCGCCAGATTAGATTTTTGTAATTGTATTTTTTTCTTCTATCTACAGGCTTTCAGCCAATACCAGAATTCAGATGTCCCCCCCATTCCTGCCCTTTTCTATTCAGCAGCTCCTGCCTTCAATCGTCCTTTAAAATGATAAAATTGATTAAAAACCAATGATTTTGAAATTTAGAATTTGGGATTAAGTCAGTCTTTCCGAAAACCAAATGCCATCGCAAATATAAGACGAACAATCGGCGGTTATCTATTGAAGCCGCTCAAAATTGCCCGAACTGGCTTTTTTACGCAACATGATTTTTGGAAAAAACAGAGTTTCAACTTTTTTCGAAATACCACAACCTTGGACTTCTGTGATGGCTTTCTCGCAGTTGTGACTCTGTTAGATTTTCGTGTTTATTTTTCATTAAACCTGACCAGAGACTCTCCGAGATCGAGAGATTCGGTGGCTTATAAGGCATTACGAAATGTAATCGCAGTAGGCATTTCGTTTTTTGACCGGTAGGTGCATCCCCCGCACGCACGCATTTTGACTTCCGCGCCCCTTTAAGACGGTCCTCCGAAATCTCGAAATTACACAATTTGCGGATTCTGTAATTACTTCTCCATAGTCTGCATAGATTTTCGTCAAAATTCCATCAATAAGATGCTCCCAAAAATCCTACCACCTGGATATATATTTAAGGCAGTTTCTGCTTTCAAAGTCCTTTAAAATGGCAAAAATCGTTTAAGAATCAATCATTTATGAATTTAGAATTTGCCAATAAATGTGAAATGCCCAAGTCCGAGCAATTTTCCCGAATCTCAGTTCGTTTATTGAGGGTGCTAGAACTTGCGCGAACTGGCTTTTTTAAGAAACTTAATTTTTGTAAAAACTGCGTTAACTTGAAATTCTACAACCTTGAACTTCTCTAATTGCTTTTCCATGGCTTGCATAAAATTTCAGCAAATTCGGTAATTACGAGTGGGGAAATTAAGCTAGAATTGCCCAAGGCCGCTATAACTTGACCTAACTGCTTTTACGAAACCCAATTTTTAAAAAAACTGGGGTTCAACTTGTTCAAAAGTCTACATTTAAGGCCTCTGTAATTACTTCTCCATAGTCTGCATAAATTTTCAACAAATTCGATAATTTGTTGAAAATTGATTAAATTGAGATTCTCCCCCAAATTCCGCCCCGGTCTATATATTCAGAAGTTTCTGGCTTCAATTGTCCTTTAAAATCCGCTATGAAGGCGGATCCGCCAGCCAGGATTCATAGATAATCCACAGCCACTGCCTTGCCTGTTCCTTTAATCCGAAAAAATAGTTGCAAGCGCTGCGGGGCCATGTTTGCCGGGGCTCGAAACGGTTTGCCCCCGTCGCGCCGTCTATTTTCTGAGCGGCTAATCATTGCGGTTTAACGGTCGGCAGTCCGGGGCTGTACTCAAAACGCAATTTTTTTCAGAAAAATTTTTCGTAATTTTGTAAAACTGTTGGCGCCTGGGAGGGTTGCTAAAATTAAAATGCCAAGGTGAAAGGCATACCATCGCTTCAAAAATGGATGTTTCAAATTTTTGGCCGTCTCCGGTTCTAGGGATATTTTTTAGTTAATGCATCTCGTAGCTGTCATACATCAATGTTCAAATCCCACCACGCGCACCCGCTCGCTCTCTCCTCGCTCTATCTGTGTCTCTCTGTCTCGCTCTCTCTCTGTCACTCTCTGCCTCTCACTCTGTCTCTCTCTCGCTCGCTCGCTCGCTCGCTCGCTCTCTCTCTCTCTCTCTCTCTCTCTCTCGCTCTCGACCTCAGAAAGGCATCTCATTTTTTTGAAAAGAATGTTTCCAGAAAATTGCATGTTCGCCCATGCAATTAATTTTTTGATCTGCCACTCTTGAATTATCTATTCTTCTACCTAACTGACCACCGTTACAATACACAACACAACGTTAATATACACAGCGGACAGGGCCCAAATCGCCTTTAAAATTTCGGAAAATTTAATTCAAATTCAACCCCTTACTGCTCATTTCCTTATTGAGCTTCCGGTCAGCGGGCCCTCAAATTTTTATGGCCACTCATCCAAACATGACCCTCCGGGGCCATTCAGGAATGC